GCGCGTTCGTGGAACGTTGGGCATTCACTCTTCATGACGCACTGCTCAGATAATGCGCGCCACGGTGATGAAAAGCGCAGTTCCGCGCGAGGAGGCATAACCCCGCGCAGCTGCGACGGTGAGAAGGGACCAGCGGGGGGCGCGCAGGAGGAAGGCCGTGCTTATAAAACGTCCAGCACCCCCTCTGAGCCTGCGCGCCAAGAGCGCCTGGCAAACAGCTGGCCCTCGTGAGGGTCGCCACGTTTCGAAAGCCAGGGCGCCCGGCCCACAGCTGGCCCACAGAGCCGGGAGAGGCCTCCGGCAGGAGGGGCGCCATCCCTGTGATAGGGGGCCACATGCGAACCCTACCCCTACCCCCCTCAGAAATCCTAGGGGGTAGGGGTGGGGTTCGCACGTGGCCCCCTATGCGAGGGCCGCCACCTCTCGAGCGGCAGAACTCCCGGCCCACAGCGGTCCCACGGAGCCAGCGAAGCCCTCCAGCCCGCCGGGAGGATCGCCACCCTTGAGGGTCGCCACTATTCGGAGGAGGAGGAGGAGGAGGAGGAGGCGGAGGAGGAGGAGGAGGCGCCCAGCCCACAGCGAGCCCACAGTGCCAGCAGAGCGGTCCAGCCCGCCGGGAAGAGCACCGTCTTCGGGAGCGACGCCACTCTCCTCCTCCTCCTCCTCCTCCTCCCCCCCCCCCCCTCCTCCTCCTCCTCCTCCTCCTCCTCCTCCTCCTCCTCCTCCTCCTCGAGAGCCATAGGCGCCCCTTGGCCCGCAGCTGGCCCACGGAGGCGGCAAGAGGCCCGCAGCGCCCAGGAGGGGCAGGGTCGACGCGCTTCGAGGGCCACGGCTTACCAGCCTCGAACGTATCCCCATCCCTAGGATTGACACGCCAAAAGGCGATGGCAATCTTAGGGATTCGCCCTGAGGTGCCAGCATAGGGATAGGGATATGTTCCAGGCTGGTAATCTGCGCACGGCCCACGGCTGGTCCACAGAGCTGGCAGAGGTCTCCGATGACATGATTCTGAATGCCAGGTGAGATCATATCATGCCAAAGCATGCTGGGGGAGCAACCACACTAGCAACACCGACGGAACAGCCACATGAACGGCAACGACGACATCCACGATGACCCCATGAACAGCACAGTGGCAACAGGAATGGCGAGAACACACAAAGAAGTAGAACCGCAACTCAAACAGCAAAACTGCAGGAAGAACAACGACGACACGAACAACGGTATGGGGAGCAGCAGAAGCATCAGCAAGAACCGCGTCAACTATTGAATGGCAAGAACAATTCCAACCATAATCATAACAACAGCCATAACAACATAACAACCACATGAACAGTAACGGCGACACGAGCACCAGCATGATCACAGCAACATAACAACCAAATGAACAGCAACGACGACATGAGCACCAGCCGCATCATGAGCGGCAATGGCGACTTCAGTGGCGGCCACATCAGCGGCAACATCATCAGCAAAGTAGCAACGAGCAGCCAAATCATCATAGCGGTCTCCAATCAATGTGTCCATACCAAGTTAGAACCTGTGTATGCAAAATCATACGTGGGGAGAATTCCACGTGGGCCTTCTGCCGATTCCGCTGGCCACCCAGAAGAACCCGTAAACTTCCGAGTTCATCAGTACTCACGCTCCAAGACTGCCAAGATAGCTGGAGATGGCCTCCAAGATGTCGCCAAGACGGCTACGATGGTCCCAAGAGAGCCCAACATGGCCTCAAGATGTTTCCGAGACGGCCCAAGATGGCCTCAAGATCGCCCAAGACGGCCCAAGAGGGCCTCAAGATCGCCCAAGACGGCCCAAGAGGCCCCCAATAGAGGCAACCAAGAGGCCTCCAAGAAGTCCTGCAGGAAGCCCCGAAAAGGCCAAAGCCAGCGATTGCCCTGAGAGATTTGGATCATACACTCTCTGACTACCTGCCAGACCACCCCGACCCAACCCGAAGACCCGAGTTTCGGGTTGGGGGGGGGGGTAAGGGTGCCACATGTGTTTTGTCGATGTTTCCCGACCCCCCCCCCCACTGGAAATCGAGGGTAAATTTGAGCCTTCGGGTTGGGTTGGGGTGGTTTGGTGGGTGGTGAGTCTCGCGCATGGCCTCCCGTATGGTCCGACGCATGGCGTCCCGCACGGTCTCGCGCAGGGTCCTCCGTGTGGTCTCCCGCAGGGGCTCTCGCATGGTATCCCGCGGTGTCTCCAGCACAGCCTCTCGTAGCTGCGAGCACTCGCTATCATACTCTGCATGCTCCAGATTTCGTAACAGAGGGAGGGGGGTCTCATCTGGGGGGGGGTCTCTTCCAGGCCATCTTGGAGGGCCTGGGGGGGTCTGGGGACGATGTTTTGGAGGGTTCTCCCACGGGGGGGGGTCTGAAATGGCCTGTCTTGGAGGGTCCAGACCCCCTCCCTTTTACTACGACATCTGGAGTACTCTGCACAGCCGCTCTCCACAGTGCTCTCCAGAGGTGCTCCCTGCAAGCATTCGAAGCGCTGTTCCGGGTCTTCTCAACGGGCGAAAGCCTGGACGTGGCTTTGCCTGGAGGCGAAAGCGGGGTAGGTAGTTCACGCTCTGACTTCCTCCTCTGAGCCCAGCGATCGAAGAACGTTATAAGATAAACTTTTTCGCTGTCGGGGGCGACTGTCCCAGGGCGGCTGGAAAGCTTATACCCTCACGGTGGCACCGTAGGGGTATAAACTTTCCAGCCGCCCAGGGACAGGCGCCCCCGACAGCGAAAAAGTTTATTTTATACCGTTCTTCGCTCGCTGATCTTCTGCCGTCAAGGGTGTAATCATCCCACCAGCCCTTCGGGCGCAAGTTACTTACCGAGCTTTCTCTTCCAACCGTATTACCCCCTCCCCCATCGGACCGGCGACAAACCAGGGCCCATGCGGGCACCCCCCCCCACCACCCCTGCCAAAACAAAAAGGTCAAGTCCATGATACTGGAGACAAAAACAATCATCATCTTTGTAGGGCTATACGGCTATGGGGCTATAGGTCTATAAGGCTATGGGGCTATAGGGCTCTGGGGCTATGGGGCTATAGAGCTACTGTAGGGCTATAGGGCTAAAGGATCATAGGGCTATAGGGCAATAGGGCTATAGGGCAATGGGGTTGTAGGGCTATAGGGCCATAAGGCTGTAAGGCTATAAGGCTATAAGGCTATAAGGCTATAGGGCTATAGGGCTATAGAACTATAGGGCTACAGGGTTATTAGGGCTATTGGGCTATAGGGCTATGGGGCTATAAGGCTATAAGGCTATAAGGCTATAGGGCTATACGGCTGTAAGGCTATAAAGCTATAGGGTTATAGGGCTATCGGGCACCTGGGCACCCGGACACCCGGGCACCCGGGCACCCGGGCACCCGGACACAGGGGCACCCGGGCGTGTCGCCGAAATCGGCGCCACAACTAACCTAACCATATGTACCCGCAAAAAACCCTACAGAGGCAAGCTCTGATTGAGGAACCTTGCAGCAAAATGTTGGTCATGTTCGGTATTGGTGTTTCAATAGGTTTTTGACAGGGACGGAAATGCGGCGTGGATGTTGGCAGATTGCCTGCTGCGCAGGCACACCAGACATCATTATGGCCACTCCGCCGCGATTG